GCTGGGGGGATGGATTGGGGGTAAAGCACGTCCAAGGACATTAGTTTGATCCCCAGAAACTATTTTTAAAAGAGCCATGTGTGTTGTTGTGAGCACTTGTCATCCCAGCACTGGGGAGGGGAGAAGAGATGGACAGATCTCCGGTCTCACTGGTGAGCTAGACTAGCCTAAGTTCTTAAGTTCCAGGTCAGCGAGCAACCCTGTTTTTAAGAAAAGAAAAAGACTGCACCTGAGGAACACTCAAGGTAGTTGGGTTCCACATGCATGCACACACATACATGCATGCACACCTGCACACATATGAGCACATGAGCATGTGAGCGAGAGCAAGTGCGTGTGTGCGCACACACACACACACACACACACACACAAGATTAATCACAACAAATACAGGATATGCACGTACCCACTTGTCACATCCCAGGCATAATCGTATTTAACAACCAGAAGTGTTTATTGCTACAAACATCTCAGGATTTCATGCTGCCCTTGCCTTGACTGAGTGACAAACATCATTTTACTGAAGTAGTGTATTATGTGTGAGTATTAGGATGGACTTCAGTCTCAAGAAGTGGAATTTGACTGCCAGCTCCGGTGGGGAAAGACAAGTATTAAATGCTTTGGAGGTTAATTGTGTAAATATGGAGTCTGCCAAGGCTAACTGAGTGAGGATAGGACCCAGCCCCTCATGCTGGGAGATCACTAGAATGTAAATTCAGCTTGAAAGGATGAAAGTTTACTCTGGCACTTTCTCAGAGGCACCTGGGCACAGACATAAAAGCTTAGATAAGGACAGATATAAAATCTCCTATATAATAGAATCAAAGTTTCTTTTTCCATTTCAGTACCCCACTCCACCTTTAAGTTTTTCTCTGCATCTGCATAACTAGCACCACCCTGGGCCACACACCATACACACACACACACACACACACACACACACACACACACGTATGCATGATAATCTGTGTGTTAACAACCCAGTCTGCCTGTGTTTGTTCTTTTTTTATGTTCTGTTTTGTCTGCAGTCACACATTTCTTCTAGAGCTACTTTTGAATATCTCAAAAGCAAGGAAAGCAGTGAACTGGGAATGCTGGGTAACAAGGACAGATGACTGAAAGCCAATGTGTAACCTCGCCTCCTATCAATCTCAAATTCAATGTGAATCTTGACCAACAGTATCAAATACCCAGATTTGGCCTCTGAATCCTGAAATTCTGATTTCTATACATTTGTGCAGCCGTGGAATGCCTTGCTTTTGCTCATTCTCTCCAGACCAGGGAACATCCCAGAACTGGGAACCAGAAGCGGTCTGTGCTTTTCCGCAGGCAGCCTGCAGGCTCTCTGGGTCCTGCCATGCCTTCTCTTCACACAGTAGATACCCTGAGGATGAGATTTTCCTGCCTATGTATTCCTGGTCCATAGCCTTTTAATAGGTAGATGGAAGATGGAAAGGGTTTCCTTCAGCTCCTCATCCCTTTGCTCTTGCTGCCTGAGGTGCCAGGCCCACTAGCAAGGTCCCAGTTGGATGGTAGTGTCCTTCTTCTAAGCCTGAGCTATTGGATGCTGGTGAGCTCAAGGACCACAGGACTTTATCGGACCTTGTCTTAGTTAGGGTTTTACTGCAGTGATCAGACACCATGACAAAGGCAAGTCTTATAAAGGACAACATTGAATTGGGGCTGGCTTACAGTTTCAGAGGTTCAGTCTAGTATCATCAAGGCGGGAACATGGCAGCATCCAGGCAGGCATGATGCAGGAGGAGCTGAGAGTTCTACATCTTCATCTGAAGACTGCTAGCAGAAGACTGACTTCCAGGCAGCTAGGAATAGGATCTTAAAGCCCACACCCACAGGGACACACCTACTCCAACAAGGCCACACCTCCAAATAGTGCCACTCCCTGTGCCAAACATATACAAACCATCACAGACCTCGAGGTGACACAGCAGTTTCCATTATTTTCACTATAGGCCCCTTCCATGTATTGAGCCTATTTTCATTTTGCATTCATCACCAGCTACTGTATTATTAATGCTATCTGTCTATGAAGTCTAGGATCATAGCTTAGAAACTTTTAAAGCCTCTTTGCCCAATACAGTGTCTAAGCATGTGCCCAATAAATGTCAGTTGGGTTCCACACACTCAAATGTGGGAGGATATTAAATCACTAGTATATACCTTTATGTGGACAAAATACTCACATAAAACTACATGTTCTTAATGGTATTTCCCCCAAAGAACTTTCCTTATCAGGCTTTGGTACATATACATGTACAAAAAAATCTATTTTTGTCAAATCAATGTATCTGCTAGTCAGATATGATTTACCTCAGTGCAGACTAGACTTTCTTTGTAATACATCTCTGAATAGAAAAGCCCATTTTCACAGAAAACAGTGGCTTTGTCAGTTCTGTACCTGGTATCAAGAACTGTCAGCCATTCAGGTTATTGTGTGGTTATCGTATTTCCAACATTGGCCCACGAAGCACAGAGATGGTGCCCAGGGAAGCCTGTTGTGTTCCTCTCCATGAAAACTTGCCACATACCCCTTCGAACTGGGTTGGTGCACAGATCAGAGCCCCTGGAATATGTTTGTGTTTACTGTCTGTATTTGAGTCCTTGTAAAGGACACAGAAACAGGGACCTTGTACTGTATTGAACATTTGTTTTGTACTATCCACAATCTACTAGCGACCTCTTGACCACACATACCTCAGATCCAACACTTGCTTTTTCTGTCCCCTGTATTCACCTCCATCGAAGCCTCAGTGATGACCTACTCTTATTTTGGGGGGAACTTTCTTATATCCTAGCCATAGTTAACTCTTCTCGGGGTTTAATGAAAAGAGACCACAGTTTTTCTCAGGAGAGACTGACTCTGATCTGGTACTCTTTTCAACTCCCATGGGGGAAGGCAAAAGGTTTGGCATGGTAAACCATTATTGTTTGCTAAGTGAGAATCAGCTGGGCATGGGTCCACCAGGGTGGGGTGGGGACGTGCTACTCTGCTCGAAGGTGGGTGTGGCAACCCCAACATAGCCTCCTTTTCTATTTGCTCTGTCTGTTGTAAATGTTGGAATGGAATTGGTGTGGTTCTGGTAAAGTGTTGAGTGGAGTATAATGGATATTAAGAGTTGATTAGGCATCCCTCTCTTCCTCGGGCTGTTACACTAAGAGTACTTCCTGCTCACTTGAATGAAGGACTTGACGGAAGAACACAATGAGAGAAATCCAAACATACTATTGAACCCGTGTCCTAGTTTGTTGCAGTGATAAACCACTCTGACCAAAACCAAACTGAAGAGGAAAGGGTTTATTTCATCTTACAGCTTTAGTCCATTACTGAGGGAAGTCAAGGCAGGCAGGTATATATGGGGAGAGACTGAAGCAGGAACCACAGAGGAGTCCTGTTGACTGCCTTGCTCAGCTACCTTTATTACACAGCCCACGTCCACCTGCTTAGGAATGGCATATCCATAATGGGCTGGGCCCTCTGACATCAATTAGCAATCAAAAAGGCTTTGCAGACAGGGCATCAGGCCAATCTGATGTAGGCAATTCCTCACCTGAGGTTCTGGCTTTCCTGGTGACTGGATTGTGTGAAGCTGACAGCCAGAGCTAAGTATGACAGCTCATTTACCACAGGTTTCTGGAAACCTAAAGAAACCTGCCTGGTTTCTTTGTTCATTATACACTTTGTGTCTGTTTCTATACACGCCGTGTACAGGTTGTGTGTGTGTGTGCGTGTGGGTGCGTGTGCGCACATATGAGGGTGCTATGCCAGTGCACACACATTTGGAGGCTGGAGGATGCTGCCCATCTTCCTTGAGCATTCTCTACCATACTGTTTCACAGTCTCTATCTGAATGGGAAGCTGTCCATTTGGGCTAGGCTAGCCAGCTGGCAAGCTCCCAGGATCCACCTGCCTCCCTCTATCTCCCAACGCTGCAATTACAGGCATCCACAGCCATGTCTGGCTTTTTCTACATGCTGGACATTTAAACTCAGATCTTATTTTCAAAACAATTGCTATCACCCACCAGAGCCATCTTCCCCGTCCTTTAAAAGCTACTTTGTGAGAACTGAGAGGTGGAATCCATCTTTCTCTCTAACTGCAAGTTCCCCACAAATAGGTGGAGACCTACCCTCCCCATACTTTCTGAAAATTACCCATGTATTCTAGCTTCAGATGGCATGGCATTCACAGAATTACAGATTTTAGACCGAGGGAACATGGGGGAAAGGACTGGAAGCTGCCTGCTTTGTATATTTGTCAGAACCCTGGTTTCTAAGTGTTTTGGGGTCAAAGGAGTTAGATGAACCCTGCATTTTGTAACTTCCTCCCCTTGGAAATTCACAGTGAAATGTTAACTGTCACTCGGCTGGTCTCAAGATTATTTAACTAGGGATTCCATTTTCTCCTGTGTTCACCCTGCATGTAAGAAACGAACGCTCCTGTCTTTGTGAAGGTCTAGAAAGCTAAACCCTTGTTGGATGTAAGAGAACAAAGGGCCTATTGGCGGTGACCTGCCTCTCCAGAACCTTACACTAATAGCAATGTCGTCAAAAAGACTGCAAGATCACACACACACACACACACACACACACGAAATTTATTTAAAGAATTGCTTCTAAATATCTAAGATCCTAGTTTAGATATTTCTCTTTGAGCAGATATGCCAATGGGCCCACTCAATTGAGTAGTAGTCTATCCTTGGACATCAGAAAACGCAACCCAAAGAGCATGCTAAGAACAAAGTGCCCACGAAGCTGGTGACATCTGAGGGCTTGGGAGGGTGAACGCAATAACCAATTAAGCAAGTAACGTGTGTGAAGAAAAGAGTGCTGTCAGATGATGCTTAAATTTGCAATCATGCCTTAATTGACCCAGATTCAGAAGGGATCGATCAATAGCGAGTGGTTTTCTGTCTGTCTGGACGCTCAGCTCAGAGTTCCATTCCAAACCACTTAGCAGCCGCTCTCCTTGTTTCTTCCAGGCCCCGTGGAGCCAAAATGAACGCGCAGTGAGCCAGCTCAGCCTCTCGCCAGCCAGCCCCCGACGCCCACCATGAACCACTTGGAGGGCTCCGCGGAGGTGGAGGTGGCCGACGAGGCGCCAGGAGGGGAGGTGAACGAGTCCGTGGAGGCCGACCTGGAGCACCCCGAGGTGGAGGAGGAGCAGCAGCCATCGCCATCGCCCCCGTCGCCCGCAGGTCACGCGCCCGAGGACCACCGCGCGCATCCCACGCCGCCGCCACCGCCGCAGCCGCAGGAGGAGGAGGAGGAGCGCGGCGAGTGCCTGGCGCGCTCGGCCAGCACGGAGAGCGGCTTCCACAACCACACGGACACCGCCGAGGGCGACGTGCTCGCCGCGGCCCGCGACGGCTACGAGGCGGAGCGCGCGCAGGACGCCGACGATGAGAGCGCCTACGCCGTACAGTACCGGCCCGAGGCCGAGGAGTACACGGAGCAGGCGGAGGCCGAGCACGCCGAGGCGGCGCAGCGGCGCGCGCTGCCCAACCATCTGCACTTCCACTCGCTGGAGCACGAGGAAGCCATGAACGCCGCCTACTCCGGCTACGTCTACACGCACCGGCTCTTCCACCGGGCTGAGGACGAGCCCTACGCCGAGCCCTACGCCGACTACGGCGGCCTCCAGGAGCACGTGTACGAGGAGATCGGGGACGCGCCCGAGCTGGAGGCGCGCGACGGCCTGCGGCTCTACGAACGGGAGCGCGACGAGGCGGCCGCCTACCGCCAGGAGGCCCTGGGCGCGCGCCTGCACCACTACGACGAGCGCTCCGACGGCGAGTCCGACAGCCCCGAGAAGGAGGCGGAGTTCGCGCCCTACCCGCGCATGGACAGTTATGAGCAGGAAGAGGACATCGACCAGATCGTGGCCGAGGTCAAGCAGAGCATGAGTTCGCAGAGCCTCGACAAGGCGGCCGAAGACATGCCCGAGGCAGAGCAGGACCTGGAGCGCGCCCCGACCCCGGGAGAGGGACACCCCGACAGTACCGGGCTGCCAGCATCTGCCAGGCAGCAGCAGCAGCGGGTCGTGGGAACCCCGGGAGGCAGCGAGGTTGGGCAGCGATACAGCAAGGAAAAGAGGGATGCCATCTCGCTGGCCATCAAGGACATCAAGGAGGCCATCGAAGAAGTGAAAACCAGGACCATCCGTTCGCCTTACACCCCCGACGAGCCCAAAGAACCCATCTGGGTCATGCGCCAGGACATTAGCCCCACGAGGGACTGTGACGACCAACGGCCCGTGGATGGAGATGTAAGTATGTGTAGGTTTGGGTGAGCTGGACTGCAGGCCCCTGGGGAGGAGAGACTTGAGTTCTATGATCTTACAAGTCTTTGGGAACTTACTTTATGGGATAAATGGTCTGTAGGGGCGCTATGCACCTCCTCTTGGTGGTTTCATCCAGTGTGGCACCAGCAAGAGGGTGCTAAGAATGGACTACTTATCAGTCCCATAAGACATCGCTATGCTTTCCAAATTGTAACAAGAGGGCTTGTTGAGAGTTGCATTTTTAGGTGCATGGCCCTCTTGGTGCTCATTGAGAAAGTCTGGACTGAGATCCCAGAATTAATATCAGGTCCGCATTTTGTAAGAAGAGGCTTGGTTGGTGAGGATATTTGCAAAATGGCGTAAGTACAAGATACACAAGGGCTCCTAAAAGGAAGGAGTAAGTGCAAAACGTGAAAAAGAAGAGGTGTGTGGAAATGAGAAGGAATGGTGGCTTAGCACAGGTGGGCATCAGGATAAAGTGTTAGCCAGAGACCAGCCGGTCCTCAGGTGTGTATGGGCACCTGGAAAAAGGAGAGTAACCCCACCAAAGTCAATCTAAGGGTGTTTATTTTTTTCCTGGTTAATCAGCAGTTCAACTAATCACACTTAAAAGACTGTCAACGTGTCAAGCCCTGTCATGAATAAACAGAGGGCATCAGAGAGTCTTAGTAAGACAGGGGAAGAGGGTTCTTTGCAGTAGACTGTTCCACAGAGCATCAAGGGTGGTTCTGGGATTTCTAAATGTGTTTTTGTTTTCTAGGATGGCAGGGACCAATGTTTTCCCCCACTAACAAGGTTCCGGGCTATGCTGCTGACCCTGGGCCACAGTTAGAGAACTATTGCCATGTAGCCATATCTTAAAGATTTGGATGGTCACTGTGGTCTCTTTAACGGAAATCCCCCTGTCCTGCCAGGTGTTGTACAGCAGCACCACCCCCAGCACACACACACACACACACACACACACACACACACACACACACACAGTGACTCCCTGTAGCACAGAGTAAACTTTTGTCATTCTGCAGTGATATGCTCTCTGTTTAAAACCAGATGTGCTTCACTGTGAAGAGCTACAGGCAAAGCTGCTGCTGGCCCTGTGAACAACTTCTTTGCCATTTTGAAATACCTAAGACATTTGAGACCGTGTCAAGCTGAGGTGTCACAATCTATTGAAAATAAATTAAGAAGGCTGACCTTTGCCCCTCTACCTTGCCGTGAAAATGCGTTTTGCTCTACCTCTCCCCTTTCTGTACACTTCAGTAATTTCTAAGCAATCTCATTTTAAAGTGGAGCTTGAAGTCAGAGTAGGGTCAAGAGGTTAAATTCAGTTTCATTTAATCTGATGCAGGTACTGGCCTCTTCCATCAGTGTCCTTAGCTATGTTGGCTCCTTGAAATGACCTACTAACTGCTTGGCCAGGAGCTTCACTCTGAGCCCCAAGGACAGTGGAAGGGCCAGGAAAACTTTTGTTCCTTTGAACTAGGAGGACACTTTAAGCCTCTTGTGTTATGTTTTAATCCAAACAACTCATTATAAAGTATTGAATAATACTTAGGACTCCATACCGTCAGAAATTCATCTTGATGCTAAGGGATCTGTGAGTAGGGCTTACCAGGATATGAAGAGTTAATAGAAAGCAAAGCCAAAACCTGTGCCATAAAATACGGCCCCCATCATCCTTAAGCCGCTTGGACCTGTGGGTCTTATTCCATCCGTCATGCTGTGTTTATAGGAAGGACCTTCATTTGCTCCCCCTTTGATGGTATTATTCCACCACACCTCAGCATCAAAAAAGTATTTACTGAAATCTCATTCCACGCATGCTGTCATAGAAAGTGGAAAGGGACCATTGAAACTAATGCAGTCTGCGTCCACAGCAGTCTCGTTAAAATTGCAGATTACTACCCACTGTCCTAAAGCCCAGTGCCTGAGGCAGAGCCTACTGTTCTAGTAGGGTTTTTTTTTTTTGTTTGTTTGTTTCATAAATTCTCCCTTAGATCTCAATTGTATAAAAGATTAAGAACCACTGTTTCAAAGAGGGGAAACCATTTAGGGGCTTGTGGACTTGAGGATTTCTTCAGTTTAAAAAAAAAAACAACAAACAAACAAACTGTACCACTGTGATTATGCTCTGCAGAAACAGAGGGCCCTGAAATTCTTATTCCAAAGGCTATAGGGTATCTAAAAAAGGCAAAACCAGAAAGTGCAAAGGAACAGGTGGAAGCTGGAAACAGCCGTATATCAATGGCAGGAGGTCATTGCTAACACTTAAGCTTGCTTCTGACATGCCTGCCCATTCCTCTCTGAACCCCAACACTTTACATGTAGAGCAAACAGGCATTCATTTGCTGGTGCAGTAGACAGAATGAAAATTGAGTATCGATTATCCCTGAGAACATGTTCACCTTACTGAAATGACAGATATCCAGCACCCAGTGAAAATTATTTTCTGAAAAATCTGAAAAGTGGGGGGGTGTGCTTTTGGCCTAGTAAAGAGTTTCTATCTTCTGGGTATGTTTGAAAACTTCCTTTGAACCCCTTCCTTGACAAATACTGATAGTGAATGATGTGTCCTGAGAAGTTCCCTGTTCACTGACCTCTCTCCAGGTAGCCCTGTCATCCATTAACAGTTGGCTTGACATCAGCAGACACAGTGCATGCTGGGAGATTTGAGCTATTCTGAATGGTGCTGTTCACTTCTCTCTCCTAAAACTTCATTAAAATAAGGCAATAAAAAGCAGAAAGGAGCCAGCCTGATCTACAGAGTGAGTTCCAGGACAGCCAGGGCTAAACAGAGAAACCTTGTCTCAAAAAAAAAAAAAAAGCAGAAAGGAAACAGCAAAAGCCAAGCATAATAAACTGTGGTTGAATTTCCTGGGCAATGCTAGGCATTTCATGCTGGGATCTATTTTCAGTTTTCTTTGGAGAAGCTTGCTCTTCCTCATCCCTGGAACTATGAGGCAAGGCTGGTGATGTGTGCATGCGGACATTACTTCTAGGCAGGAACAGCAGAAACCATCTTCTTGCTCTAGTTGCAACAACTCCAGAAGCCACACGGTAAGATACATTGGTGTAACCCTGAGCACAGCAAGTGTCTGCTTCCCCAGAGTGAACAGGGTTCCCTGGTGATAACCAGTGAGACACTGAAGCAACCTCATCGAGGGCACAGGAATTTGGGGGTGGTTTGTTCTCACTGCACGGCCTGGTTAGTGCTAACTCATTCACTAGGGAGGTTTCTGCTTCCTCTTGTCTACCAAGATTTCTGAGGATTTGAACCTAGACACCCCTGAAAGGGACTTGAAATACCCCAGTACTTCTGGTAACAGGAATGTGAGGACATAGTTGAGAAAGAAAGTTCAGTCAACAAGCAGGAGACATTAGAACTCTGGCTACCTCTAGTGTGTATAGTCACATGATTGCTTCTTGTAGATGTGTGGCTTCCATAAGTAAAGGGGGATCCCTAACCCAAAAACCCAAACCAAGAAAAGAGGTGGGAGGGACTCCACCACAGAAAATACAGGAAGAGAAGCCCTTTGGGTGCATGAAGAAGAAACACAGGGATGGCTACTATGGAAAAAGTCAAGGAAGCAGCTAATCCAGACTCCAGTGGGAGACGTCCAGAAAGAAGAAAGCAGAGAGAGCCCAGCGAGCATGGGATTGGAGGAGTAGAGGCTTGGAGATGGTTTAGCATACACTGACCACCAGCACATGGAAAACTAAACTAAACAAATAAAAAACAATCCTAACAATTCCAGTTTTCTTTGGTTATTTGGCCTTTCTGACAACAGTTACACAAGGTAGAAATGCAGTAAGTCCTGTATGCATGTGGCTGGTCTGGGAAGAGCAGAAGAGTAGTCTTCAGAATGCAAACACTGAACATTTATTAACTAGAAATACTGTAACTGCCGTTTCTTTTGTAACGGCCGTCAGGTTCTGCTACTTTGTAAAGGCCGGCCGGTTCTGCTGCTCCGGTCGGCAGGTCAGGGTCTAGCAAGAGAGAACGTGGGGACGGAGGAAGGGGAAAAAAGGGGCGAGAGACGCAAAAGATAGATACAAGCCAGAGTCCGGTGGAGTCTCTTCAAGTCTTCTTTATTCTCCTGTCTTCTTACTATATTCTCACTCCTTCAGTCTCCTGTACTCCTCTACTTCTTCCTACTACCTCCTACTTTCTACCTCTACCTCTTCCTCCCGACTCCTCTACTCCCCTATAAAAGGGAAATCCTGGGTATTTATACCCTTTACCACGTGACTTGCCCTCGTGGACAATCTCAACTGAAGCCACTACGTCACGTGCCTTGTAGCCATGGATACCAGGAGCACCTGGCAGCTGGGGGCACTAAACAGTGTAACAAGATGTTTATCAGAGTGCGCTCAGCTATTGCAGGCTGTTGAAACAAGTCTCTTGTCAGGGTATATGGCTCGAGATGGCTGTAAAGATGATAGCCACTTTCGGCTAAGAGTCGGCTCCCAACAGGTCCCCCTTTTTAAATTTGTTTTCAAAAGGGAAGGCTGGGAAAACTTACGGAAACCGTGCCTGCCTTAGGTTGGAACAAAGGACCCCAGCCTCCCTTTCCCGTCTCTGGATACTCAACAGTCATTGGTTGAGCTCCTGTCTTAGGATGGTGAGGCCTCCCAGTTAGGGGCAAGGGTCTTGAGGTGTTCTCTTACCCGTCATTGACTATCCGGCTTAGCGCGTAAGATAAGGGTTAATCCTCGTCAGTCTTGATGACAGAGGTTTTAGTCCCCTACTTCCAGCCTGTAATAATGGACCTGTATGGGTTTCATTTGTGTAACGTCTATCTGTTGTAGTACAAAAGCCATCAGTTTGTTGAGCAGCATGAACCCGAGAGACAAGAGACTTAGCAATGCCTGAATGGTTAGCGTAAATGTAACACTCTTTTTAAGAGTAGTACATAACTTCTTCTGTTGGAGGAGTAAAAAGTATAAGCCTCTTCTATTCTATAACACTATTTTATAAATCT